GGCTGCGGGAGCGGGGGGGGCGGGGGGGGCCGCCCGCTGGGGGGGGGGGAGAGGACTGCCCTCCCCCTCCAGCCCCCCCAGAAGGGAAAGTCTGCTTCGAATGGGGGAGGGGTCTTTATAACAGCTCCCCCCACAACCGTCCAAGTAAGGGGGGGCCCTTCGGCGTCTGGGAAGGGTCTGAAGTCCAGCCGCGCCACTCCTTTCGGGCTGCGACGGGAGCCCCCCCCCCATGGCGTGGCTGGGGATGATGGGGCCTGGGGTCGCCCTCCGACCGAGCGGGGGCGAAGGGGCGGGGCCCGCCGAGGCCCCCTCCCCCGGGGGCGGGGCTGCTCCCGCTCCCTGAGGACCCCCCCACCGGGCGTGGGGTGGGGTGGGGGGCTCGGCCGGGTCTCCTCAGCTACGCCGCCCTCCCGCCTCCGCCGCCCCACTCACCGTCGCCGCGGCCCGCTCCGGCCCCACCGGGGAGACCGAGTTCCACACACGCGCGCGCGCGCACGCCCGGAGACCCACGTACAGACATACATACACGCGCGCGCTCGCTCCCACGCTCCCACACTCGCACTCGCACACGCAGGGCAGCTCCAGCCACCACAGACTCCAGAGGGGGGGGGGCGCGCGACGTCACAACGCACCGCGACGTGGGAACGCACCCGGGACGACGACGGCACGCACGTACGTACGTACGCACGCACGGGAGCGCGCGGGCCGTCCCGGACCAACCAATCCACCCACTCGCCCCGGTCGCCTAGTTACGTCAGTCACCTTGCCGTGCCCATTGGCTGTCACGGCGCGAGGCTTTCTTTTAAACCCTCCTCCTCCTGTCACCCCTCCGCCCACCAATCTTTCTCGCCCTCCCGATGCTCCTCCACCAATCGCCGAAGTCGGGCGGCGCGGGGTGGAGTTTGCGCGGAGGGGCTCCCGGATGGCCAATGAGCTGGCGGGAAATGGAGGCGGAGGGGGGGGAGAGGAGAGGGGCGTGGCCTGGCAGCCTCTCACGCCCCTCGCTTCCCGCCCAAATCTCGGTTCTCCCTCGGCGGCGGGCGGCGCGGGAAGCGGGCTTGACCCCGGCGGGGCTCCTCCCGAAGCCGCCCGCTCCCCTCACCCGCCGCTCGCTTCGCGGCCTTCGGGTCCAGGCCTCCAGCGACCCCTCTTCCCCTTGCCTGAGTTCACACAAGCTGGGGCACCCCAAACCCGAGTAAAACCGCCTTTCCCGAGGTGTTTGTAGCCCGTCGGACTCCCCGGCCCATAAATCCTCTTGCGGCCCAGCGCTGCCTTTGTCCAGCTTTGAGACTTGAGAGGAGTGGACCCAGAATGCCCCAGCCGGCATGGCACTCTGGGAGATGAAGTCCTCCCCACCTTCAGTTCATAACTGGGCTCTCCAACCTTGGCAGCTTTAAGACTTGTGGACTTCAACTCCCAGAATTCCTCAGCCAGCTTTGCTGGCTGAGGAATTCTGGGAGTTGAAGTCCACAAGTTAAAGTTGCCAAGGTTGGACACCCCTGCTTTAAGGCTTGTGGGACCTCGAGGCCCAGAATTCTGGGAGTTGAAGTCCGCAAAGCTGCCAAGGCTGGAGAGCCCTGGTTTGTGACGGTCAAAGCCCTGCACGGCGGGGCAGAGCATCCCAGCCAACTGGGTTCGCTAGCTGAGGCCTCTGCGTGTGCTGCAATCCTGGATTGTGTGTGTTGCGAGGTTGCTTTCTTCCCCTTCAAGATGGCCCTGCATATGTGGGGTTTGTAGACTTCGGCTTATCTGTAGTTCCTGGTCACCCAATCTGGGTTTGCCCCACACCCAGTAGGGTGGATTCCCCCCACAAGGAATTAAGGCTGACTTGGCTTGCTTTTCATTCAGCACGCTTATTTATTTACTTATATATATACATGTACATACACACAAAATTTACATGCTGCCCATTTCACCCATAAGGTGGCTCCTATGTTGTGAGAAACCAGGCAACTCTGATTTGTTTGGATAACTAAGGTTGAAACTATTTTAGCACCAGACGGATCAAATCCAATCTGTAGGTGACTTCCTGGCTATTTCTCAGCAGCTGGCCTTCTGTGATGCATGGATTCAGCTGAGTGAGGATTCTGGGAACTAAATCTAAGCTTGAGTTAAAGGGACCTACTTAATCTGACCCAGGTCTGTTGGATCCCTCCCCAAAACCTCACTGATTGCTGAGCACTCTTTTGCTCAGAAATATTATAAAATCAGTAAAAAAAAATTTAAAAAGACCATAAAACAGCTGTACAACCTTGGCAACCTTAAGATGTGTGAATGCATGGCTGGTTGGGGAATTCTGGGAATTGAAGTCCACCACTCATAAAATTGCCACTTTCCTATCCCAGCTCTACTAGGTCAAACTAATTTGCTTTCCCCCTGGCTTGCTTATTTATTTGATTTGTCAATCGCTTACAAGATAATAGGTATAAGTATAAACATAGTTATGAATACATGAAATGGATACATATAAGAAAAAGAAAAAGAAAATAGGACAGGGACGGTAGGCACGTTGGTGTGCTTATGGGACTCACTTTGCTAAACTACTATTTGAAATGGAGCTGAGGACGGCAACCTCATTCCTAGCCTTAATATCTCCTTATTCTCCTTTGAAAAATACTCCCAAATACAGCAGCGTAAGGTTCCCACCTTGTGGTCTGGGTCGCTCTTCCTCTTTTGCAACTAAAAATGCAAACCTTTGGCGTTGCTCTATGCTCCACCCCATCAGCAGCAATTACTTCCTCCCAGTCTGTCTTTCCTTTGCATCTGTCGGAGGGTGCCCCGAGCTGAAGAGCAACACATCCTGCCCAGGGCAGAAAAGCACCGAATTTGGAGCGACAAGATTTCAACAGACGGGGAGATAAGACTGGAGATCAGCAGGGCACAATGGTTAGCTTAAACAATTCCTAATTCTGGGTGGGGCCCTTGCTTCCAATATTGGCTTAGCAGGCTTGGAAAAGTGGTCTTTTAAAATTTATTTTACTGGTCACTTTGCCATTCAGTCAGTTATTTTTTCAGATCTGGGGGAGGTTTTGGAGGAACCGTTTTTTGGGCATCTCTCAAAATGAAGCTTCAGCAGAAACGGCCATAGTGGAAGCTCATGTGAGGGTTGCTAGGAACTCACTTCCTCTGTTGCGGTGTGCTGGACTGAAAGATCAGCGTTTCAAAACAAGGGCGTTTTGGAATAACCGAGTTTAAAAATTATGACCAAGCTGCTGAGCGCCTTGTGAAGATTTAAGCCTGTTTGGTCCTGAAATGGAGAGCCAGAACTCTCTTTTCTCAGGTTTTCAAACAGGGGCTGGAGAAATTCCATTTAGGCATAAAAAGTCCTAGAAACCAAGTTGGCAGATGAGATTAACTTGACTCCTGGTAACCTCATGATTTGTAATCGGTTCAAAACTTGCCTGTGTTTGTGGATGTTGCACCAACAATGTATGGTTTCCACTGCCAAAGACCTAACAGGCCAACATTACAATAGCGTAGTGGCAGTGGAGATGTTGGTGTATGGCCATAAATTAAGATTTGATGGATTGAATGTAGGCAAATGCCATTACATGGAGCCAACGTGTTCAGAACGAGGATGCAGGCTCCAAAATCCAGGTGAAAAAGATGTGTTTTGTGAAGGATTGAATGTCGTCGTTTTTTAAAAAAATGAGGAACTGCAAAAGCAGAAAGGCATTAGAAAAACATCGCCTACTTGCATATAATCTGCCAGTCTTGTGCAACCAGTTCCCTCATCCGCCCCTACCCCATGTAGCCATCTGGAAATTGGAAATGTTAATATCAGTTTCTATTATAAGTTTATAGTTACTTCTAAACCTTTAGCTATAGCAAAACGGATGATGGTTTTAAGAAAGCAAGCCTGTTTGGCATACGTCATCTATTCCCATTGGGGTGTTATTGTTGTTGTTTTTTGCTGGACACGAGACTCTAATTTTTGAAAATGTAGGCAGCCCTTTGCGGTAGGTAATCAAAGAGGGAAGGAGACCCGTGTGGCCTTCAGGAAAATGAAATGATGCCAGACATGATAGACCTGAGTGGGAGAGAAATCCAGGTTGCTCTTTCTTTTTTCTTTTTTTAGTCAGATTCCCTGGTTGTGTGTGATGTGGATCCGGCGCTCATCGAGAAACTAAAGAAATTTCGTTTCCAGAAGGAGACTAACAATACAGCTTTAATTAGTGAGTGACTTCCTCTGTGTTGCAAGTTAATTTCTCATCCCATGTATTTTTCTCCTTTGGATGCTCAAGCATTGAGACTTAGCACAATCACAGCTACTCCCCGACTTACAACCATTCCTTTAGTGACTGTTCATAGTTACAACGGCAATGAAAAAAGTGGCCCTTTTTCACACTTATGACCATTGCAGCATCCCCCATGGTCACATGATCAAAATTCAGATGCTTGGCAACTGGCATGTACTTGTGGTGGTTGCAGTGTCCCGAAGGGTCACGTGATCCCCTCTTGCGACCTTCTGACAAGCAACGTCAATGGGGAAGCCAGGTTCACTGAACCACCTTGTTACTAACTTAACAATTGCAATGATTCATTGAACAACAGTGGCAAGAACAGTCATAAAATGGGACAAAACTCATTTAACAAATGTTTCATTTAGCAATGTACATTTTGGGCTCACCTGTGGTCATAAGTCGAGGACTACCTGTATTAGGGCAAAACAATATGCCTGGCCCATACTTTGCACAAATTTAGCACTCAACAGCACTGATACCTTAATGCATTTCAAGAATTTGTGCTTCCTCAGTGATTATGCTTGTGTGTGCTCTGTGTGTGCGTGTGCGTTTATGCTTTTAATGAACTCATTGTACATCTTTGTGATTGTGTTTTTTTAACCCAAGAGAAGTGCAGCTCCTTACTTTGAAATGTTGTCAGCATTTCGTGCCCCTTGTATTAAAGTGGCTTTGATGTTCATTGAACCTCCGCTGACAGCCGTATAGGCAATCTTTAACATCCGTGAACTTGTCATCACTTTGAATAAAGTGAGGGAGATATGGAAACAGCTCTTGGCTGTAATCCTGTTCACCGCAGATTGCTTCAGCGCTATTAAAGAGTCAGGGTTTCTGTGCCCACCCTTGTCTAGCAGCCATGCTGGAAGATTTGAGAGGGACAAGGAATGGGCGGGAACTGAGACAGCGTGTTTTCTAGGGAACCAGTGGAAGTGAAAAAAACACGTAAATCGGTTTCTCCTCTCTCTGTCATTAGTGAAAGTTGACAAAGACAGACAACTGGTGGTTCTGGAGGAGGAATTTCAGGTAGGCACAACTTTTGTTTCGTTCTTATAACTAAAATGAGTACCGTATTCCCACTAAAGAAGCCCACCCATATTTTGAATGCATTTAAATACCTCCTATTCATAAGCCCAGTCTGTAAATTAAAGCAGCATTATAGAAATAGAATGGAATGGAATAGAACTAGAATTCTTTATTAGCCAAGTGCAATTGGACACACAAGGAATTTGTCTCTGGTGCTTAAGCTCATAATATAACAGCAAGTAATAGGTCATAGGTCATAATCATAGTTACAATCATTCATCAAATAATTTAGCCTTAAAACCTATGTTGGTTGAAGAATCAGAGAATTGCCTAGCATGTCTTTGCTGCTAAACACGTTACAAAGATTAATTAAACTGCAGAGATGACTCATAATATACATTAAACCAGGGATGTCCAACCTTGGCAACTTTAAGACTTGTGGACTTCAATTCTCGGAATTCCCCAGCCAGCATGCACTGGCTGGGAATTCTGGGAGTTGAAGTCCACAAGTCTTAAAAGTTGCCAATGTGGACACTCTTGCATTAAACCAAGCCGTAGAGGGTAGACAAAGCTACATCTTTCCCGTAGTCCTAAATCAATGAAAATGCAGAATGTTTTCTTTTATATCAAATAAGATGCAAATGTTCAGCATGAGAAGGGCTGCAACTCATGAATAGTTCTCTAGCTGCTTAAGTATAATTTCAGATGCTTAAAAACACTCAATTTTTTAAAGCTAGAAAAACACAGAAATGTGTATTTTGTTATAATGAGAGGAGGTTATAAAGGAACTTTGCCTTGGGGCATAAAAATGAATTAGCTACATATGAATTAAGATGAATTACGAGCCAGCTCTTTTCCATCTGCACAGTGAAAAGGTAGCCAGGCTACCAAATCCCAAATCATACCCAAGATGGAAGGCTTTTTCACAGAGGGCCTTGCAATCAACTATGCCTTCTCGTTATTCTTTCATTTGCACTCATTCTTTCACGTGTGCGTGCAAGTACATTTATATATGTGCAGAATACACATTCCATTTCCATTCCTCCTGATTTAAGTTCCCACCCTGTTCTGCCAATCTGACTGAAGGCAACTTCATCTTTTTTTTTTTCTTCCAAAAGGGAACTCTTCCATTACCCAGTCCAGCCTCCTGGATGTAAATTTTGCTAGAAATTACTGGGCTGGACAAAAAAGCAAATTGAATTTCAAATCAAATTTATTATCTCTGGAGAACAATGTGCTGATGGCATTGTTTGCCTTCCTATTTAATTCAGTATGTTTTACAATCTTCACGCATGTCAGCAAGATGTTCATGATTTGATCTCTGGTTCACTGCTTTTTCGCAACGCACAAAGAGACGGTGGGATTCTGCGGAAAGCTTGGTTTTTATCAGAATGCAAAATCATTTTAATGGTCCTGAGGGAATCCTGACAGCAAAAAGCGGCGCTTAATAATATTAGAGGTAGGATGAGGCAGAAAATAGATGCTTCTAAATAGAATTAACCACTTCGATTATTCAGGGAAAGCAGGGAGTCAAGACCAATTACTTCCATCTTGTGGGATCCAAATATTAATGGATGTTCTGTCTTGAGATTCCCTCCTGTAATACAGGGACTCTTCGACTTACGACCACAATGGAGGCCAAAAGTTTTATTGCTAAGCAAGATAGTTGTTAAGTGAGGTGTTTTTTTTTAACCACGTGTCCATTTTAGGACCTTTGTTGTCCCAGTTGTTAGGGGAATCGCTTCCTTGGGCTCCCACCCTCGGTTGTCAGGCTCTGGGAAGGTCTTGCACTGCTCTCTGTTGCTGCCCCCGTCGCCCTCCACTTCCAACCCCCCCCCCAGGCCCCCCCGCACAGAGTTGAGGACGGCTGTGGCTCCGTCTGGGTGGCGAAGGGCCGGTGGGGGCACCTTTATCAGGGCTGCAAGCAGCCTCCTCGTTCCCTTGAGCTGCCCCGGAGCGGCTTCTGCTGCCTTGGAAAGGAGGCGGGCAAGGGCCTGATCTTTTTCATCAGAATAGAGCCGGAAGGGACCTTAGAGGTCTTCTAGTCCAGCTCACGCGGGAGACCCCGTCCCGTTTCTGCCTGTCTCTTCTTGGAGCCCCCACAACTCCTGGAGATGTTCCCCTGGTCGGTTGGGAAATCCCTCCTCGAATTCCGGGTTGCTTCTCCCCTTGATTGATTAACCACCCGTTGATTGATTAACCACCCGTTGCTCCTTCTCCTGCCTTGGGGGGGGCTTTGGAGGAGATCGGAATTCTGCTGTCATGCTCCCCCCCCCCCCTCCCCTTCTTCCCCCCCGACCCGCGGCCCCCCCTTCCCCCCCTCCCCCCCCCCCCCCAAGTCAGAGCAGGCAGAAGCCTCCCGAGACTTTCCGATTTGATGCAGGTCGAGTCTGCAGAGCAAGAAGAAGCTTCGCTGGTGCTGCTGCCTCCTCCTCCTGAGCCGCCCCCCTCTTCCCCTCCGCGGCTCTTAAGAGCTGCAAGCAACCACCAACATTTTATGGCCCATTTTATTCCACTATCTGGAGTGTCAAGAGGCTCTGCTGAGCCTTTAAACAACCTTGGCATTTTGATGTGAGACTCGGAACGATGCCTGTCACCTGCTGGGACTTTTCCGCTGCTTTTAGTCCTTAGCCGGAGCAGCTCCGTTTGATGGCTGGCTGAAGACGGCTCTTCGGGTTGGAAGAACCAGACTGGCAGGCCCTGCCTGCCGTGGGGGTTTAGTGCAAGGAGGAGGTGGGGGGGCATCTCTGAACTTTAGGCACTGTGTATAATAGAAACATAGACTCCTAAGGCCGGAAGGGAGCTTGGAGGTCTTCTAGTCCAGCCCCCTGCTCAAGCAGAAGCCCTTATGCCAGGGGTGCCCAGCCTTGGCAACTTTAAGACCTGTGGACTTCAACTCCCAGAATGCTTCGCCCAGCACAGCATTTGTCTGAAAGGGTCTAGGGTTTCCTGCCCAAGCAAGGGGTTGGACTAGATCAGGGGTCTCTCCAACCTGGGCGACTTTAAGGCTGGTGGGCTTCAACTCCCAGAAAGCTGGCTGATGAATTCTGGGAGTTGAAGCCCACCAGCCTTAAAGTTGCCCAGGTTGGAGACCCCTGGACTAGATGACCTCCAAGGCCCCTCCCAACTCTCTTACTCCGTTATATGAAAACATTGCATGGCTCACACTTTAGAAATGCTTTCCCTGCCTCCAACCCCACAACCCGCCCCCCTTCGAAACCTCGCCCCTGTGTGTGTGCCGTCCCTATTACCCTGACGTGACGCCTCTCCTCTCTCCTCTTCCACAGGACATCTCCCCCGAGCAGCTGAGTGGCGAGCTACCCGAGCGCCAGCCCCGATATCCTGACTCTAGTTCCACCTTCTGTGCCTTCCGGCCTCTGTCTGTCCCTGGACGCTGCTCTCTGCTTTCAGGATGGACGAGGGGAAGCCTTTTCCCCCCAGCCAAGGTGTAGCTGATCCGTGGCACCTCAGGAGGGGGCAGGGTCTGCAGGTTAAAGGGGAGTTGATGGGGGAGGGGCCGCTTCAGCCGTCCGGAGTTTCTCAGGAACGTCCGGCTGACCACAGCAGAAAGCGGGCTACCACTAAACAGTTGGCCTCTGGTCTGACTGAGCCTTCCTTCTGCTCTTCCTCAACCAACAGTTGGGGGCTGAATAAATCTGGATGACCAGGTAGTCGGCTGACAATAATTCGTTTAGTGGCTGTTCACTTAGTGGCAGCACTGAGGAAAGTGACTTACGACCGTTTTTCACACGTGTGACCGTTGCTACATTCCTGTGGTCATGTGAACAGAATTCGGATGCTTGGCCACGGGTTCATACTTATGACGATCGCAGCATCCCAGCGATCCCCTTTTGCAACCTTTTGACCATCAGAGTCCACAGGGGAAGCCAAATCCATTTAACGACCGTGTAACTAACTTAACAGCAGCAGGGATTCTCTTAACAACTGGGGCAAGAAAGGTCGTAACATGGGGCCAAACTGACTTAACAGCTGTCTGGCTTGGCCACCAAAATTTCGGGCTCAATTGGGGTCGTAGGTCGCGGCCTACCTGTGTTGGCGTTCCCCTCTTGCTCTGCTGCCGTCTAATGGTCACCCAGGAGTCCGGGGTCCAGATCTGTTTGGCCTGCTGGGTGAGTCACCGCTGGGCGGAAGGCAAAGAGTGCCCCAAAGCGAAGTCCGTTCCGCGGAGCCTCAGCCCTACGCCCAAGCCAGCAGGACGCGGGAATGGCCAGCGTGGCCAGAGGCGGGAGAGGATTAAAGCGGCCATAAAGAGGGGAACAGTTCAAAGGAGAAACGGATCCTTCCCTCCTGAGGTTTCTGAGCGACGGGAAGAGAAGGTTGGTTAGGCTGTGAGGGAGCGAAGGGCGTTTTCAACCAGGAAGCCAGTCTGGGCCTCTCTGGGTTCTTTGGCAAGGTCAGGTGGGCGAGGGACTCCAAACGGAAAAGGAGGCACCCCACAAAAGGACCCCCTCAGCATGGAACCATGAAAACCCACCAGCCTCGGGGTGGACCGGGTCTCTCCGTGGAGACTTTCCAGGGTCCCCGTCCTTCTGGCTTGTTGTGAAACTCCCCGTTGTTTCCTTGACTGTCCCTGTGTGCCCACATTTGTTGTCTACAGCTACAGATACGCGCATGAGGATGGGCGGATCTCTTACCCGCTTTGCTTCATCTTCTCCAGTCCAGCTGGTAAGATCCAGTAACCGTCTCAACCAGGGTACTTAAAGGGGAGCCGGTTTATTCATTTGTTTCTTTGAGAAAATGGCTTTTACCAGGTGGGCTCGATCCCTTCTAGCAGGGGTCTCCAACCTGGGGACTTTAGGGGGACCTCAACTGCCAGGATATGCGCTGGAGGTTTCCAAGAAGAGGCCGGACAGGGATGATGTGGGGTTGGACGGGAAGGCCTCCAGCTCTCTTCCGTCTGAGGGGATGCTGCTGTGGTCCAGCATCTGTGGGGCTCGAGATTGTCCAATCTGGGGGCGGGGGGACACGACACGCGTCTCCCTAGCCCAATAAATCCCCTCTCCTTGAGTGCCCATGAATTATGCCACCCGTTGCAAGGCATTCTGACTCAGGTAATGAATGCTAATTGCAAATAAACCATGCTTCCCTCTTCCTTCCACCCAGGGTGCAAGCCGGAGCAACAGATGATGTACGCTGGAAGCAAAAACAGGCTGGTACAGGCAGCTGAGCTCACAAAGGTATTTAATCCTGATTTTATTTTTCTATTATTATTATTTTTTTTTATTTTTTTTTACTGTTTACCGTTCTGCCAATCCTTCTGACTCTTCCGGCTTGAGGGGATTATTTTTTTTATCATCTCCTTCTTACGGCTGCTGATCCATAGAATATAATGACCAAGATTTTTATTTGTCTTGCTTTTTTTCTTTCTTCGCTGCCAGTCGTAATGTCTTCTCGGTGAGTCTCAGCATTGAATTTATTTTCTCCTGCCTTGGATTTCAGTTTTGTCAAATGCCCCGTTTGTATGTGGCGTGCAGCAGAGGCACCTGTCCCGTGCTGAATGATTAACGGTGGCGGCCATTCCCTTTCTTGCCAGGTCTTTGAGATCCGGTCCACAGAAGAGCTGACAGAGCAGTGGCTCAAAGAGCGGCTGGCTTTCTTCCGTTAACCGCGGGTCGCTCGGAGAAGACCAAGTTCTCCCTTAACCCCCCCCCCCCCCCCCCCCAGCCTCTAGAGACACCACCACAGGGTGCGCAGAGCAGAAGCTGCCTCCCCATCAGCCTTTTGCTGGTAACCAAAATGTCTGAGAATAAAACTGGCTGGTTCTACTTCTTCTTCTTCTTCTTCTTCGTCTTCTTCTCTGAACTTGTCGCCTTTGGGCCTGGCTGAAGTTTCCAGGATGTGCCCGCCCTTTGGCTTGGCTCTCTCTCTGGCCGAGGAAGAGCCTGCGGGTCACTCTCCCTGGCAGCACAGCCGTTCACCACCCGAGGGCACCTTCTGCCCACTGGAAAGCTCCTCCTGGCGAGGTAGAGCGGCCACCCAGCCGTGCACTGGGGCCACCAGCCTTTCAAAGCCTGTCGGGAGGGATAAGAGTGCCGTTTTTCACAGCTGCCTTCCAGGCTCAATTCTCTCAGCAGACCAGTCCGGTGGCCCCAGAAATGTGCTGAAGAGCCACTCGGGCAGGGAAGGGGCTCCGGCTGTGTTGCCCTTAAGCAGAAGAGACTCTGGTAGCTCAGATGTGAACTGGGGGGTCCTGGGGGGTCCCTGAGATGGTTGGTTTCCTTGCAGACGCTTCATGACCCAGGTAGGTAACATTATCAATGATAGAACAGGGTGGGTTTGCAGAGAAGAGAGGGAGGAGGAAGAGGACTGTGGCGTCCTGGGTGCTGCCTGAGCTTGGTGGTCTCCTTGCAGACGTTTCATGACCCAACTAGGTAACATCATCAGTGCTGGAAGGAAGGAAGGAAGGAAGGAAGGAAGGAAGGAAGGAAGGAAGGAGAGGAAGGAAGGAAGGAAGGAAGGAAGGAGAGGAAGAGAAGGGGGTCTTGGGCACTCTGAGCTTTGGTGGTTTTCTTGCAGACGTTTCATGACCCAACTAGGTAACATCACCAGTGCTAGAAGGGAGTGGGGTTACTGGAGAGGGGGGGGGAGGAGACAACAACGGTGGGGTCCTGGGCGCTCTCAGCTTGGTTGTTTACTTGCAGATGTCAAAGCTGCCAAGCTTGAGAAACGCTGGTTTATAGAAATTAACCTTGATGGCTGAACTTAAACATGCAGTTGTTCTGACGGAAAATCTATCGGTTTCTTGCAAGGTTTTGCAGACGTTCTTGTCCTGTGGAGGGAAGTTGGGAAAAAATAAAAAAGTGAAAGAAAGTTTGAGAAGGAAGATTTTACGCAGCATCCTTGGCTGGCGAGGTTATTAAAGTCTAGCAGTTTGATTACTTCCTCCAAAAGGCTGGAGATAGATTGTCGCTGGCAGAAAAATGCTGCATTTTACAGATCTATCATCCTTCTGGCATATTCGCTGAGGGAGGGCGGGATCCGGAGGGGGGGCTCATCACTGCTTCCTTTATCGAGAGGGTCGCTTTCAATCTCCCCGCCAGTTTAATCGGAGGAGCAATTAGCACAACGGCCTGGCCTGGAAATTGGTTTGGCGGATTGGAAGGACCAAGAGGACCTGCCCTGGGAAAGCGGTGCCCCCTCCCTCCCTCCCCCAAGGGCAGGGGGTCTCCGACCACGGAGGTGGGGGGAATCCTGACTTTTCCCCCTGGGCCCAGCTGAGAAACCCTTGCACCAAAGGGGTCGGGGAGTCTGCAATGCCAGTGCCGGGCAGCAGAGGGCGCAGAGCAGTTGTCCTTGGATTTCAGGGAGGGGGGGCTGCGTACAAACAGTCCTTGACTTATGACCGCCATTGAACCCCAAATCTATTCTGCTAAGTGAGTTTTGCCCCATTTCAGAACCTTTCTGGCCATACTTGTTAAGCGGATCCTGGCAGCCATGAAGTTAGTTGCAGTCGTTAACTTTGAACAGTCACTAAAGGAAAGGTTATAAGCAGGGGTGGGATTCTACCAGTTCGCACCTATTAGCTAGAACCGGTTGTTAACATTCTAAGCAGTTCGGAGAACCGGCTGTTAGAAGAAATTACTGGGCTAATCCTGTAAGGAAGGCAGGAAGGAAACATTCTGGTGTTGCTTACAGAAACTGCCTCTCCGTTAACCCTTATTGCATTCTTGGCAGGACTAGGAACTTCTCTGGAGTTTTTTTTCCCCTCCTTTGCTGGTACTTTGCTTGTGTGGAGTGACCATTCAAAGTTACAATGGCACTGAAAACAGTGACTTATGACTCTTTTTCACACTTACGACTGTTGCAGCATCCCCACAGTCATGAGAGGCCAGGTGAGGCGATGTGTGCCTTGATATGAGTGGTGTTGAGTTGGCCACACCCAGCCAGTCACATGACCACCAAGCCATGTCCACCCCAGTCACATGACCACCAAGCCACGCCCACCAACTAAGCCATGCCCACAGAACCGGTTGTTAAAAAAATTGAATCCCACCCCTGGTTATAAGTTGAGGGTTGCCTGTGCGGTATTTTGGTGGCCACGACGATGGTTTTTGAACGTGGAGGAAGAAGGAAGGAGTGGCCTCCTTGCACCTGCGCAGCGGTTTCTGCCGAGAAGAGCCAGGGGTCCCCCCCGTGCCCCTCCACCACAGGGCAGGCTGAGGGCCCCCCAGCCCCCCCCCCACGGCCTTCCACGGAGGATCCGAACGTTCCTTGCCCCAGCTGGTTCTGGGCCCTCCTGCAAAGGTGGAGTGGGGGCCAAAGTAGAAACCCAGAGGGAGGTGAGGGCCTTTCGGGCCACCTGGCAATGAGGCCAGAGGGATGCCCAGGCCGGGAGGGACATGCCAAGTGCCTGGTTCAGAGTCAGCCCTCGCGGGACACGGCTTAACTCCTCCGTCTCCATCCTTGGCTAAAAAAAAAACCAATTAATTCATCCGATTGGAGGTGGTCCTTGACTTACAACCCTCCCTTCTTGCGTCCCTCCCCTTTTCTCCCCTTTCCTCCCTCCCTCCAGACAAGGGCCAAGAGAGGCCATCCCTGGGGTGCTGGTGGCCAGAGGAGAGCCTGGACATGGGCTTGTGTCCTCATCAGGCTTCAGAAACCCCTGGGTGAAACCCGCCTCCCTCCCCACATGCCCCTCTCCTGTTTCAAAGTCCTGGATGCCACATCTCCATGGAAACCAGCCAGGTTTTGAGGATGGCCAAAGCCACAGCGCGTGGCGCTCATCCTTCCCAATGGCCGCCCTTCATCGGAGTGGGGGGGGGCTCACACACAGACCCTGGCAAATAGGAACGGGGCTCAGGGCAGCTCCTCCAGGCAAGCCCAGCCCTGCATGCTCCCTCCCTCAATTGCCCCCCTTCCTCAGCCCCCCTCGCCATCTTACTATCCCTCAAATTTGGCCTTCTCTCCCCTCAAGCCCCTCCGTGGAGCGCTCCTTTCCCTGGGCGCTGCTCGTTTAAATAGAGCCACGCACCCTTGCCTGCCACTCACGGGGAGCCATCCCCTGTCCACCTTTGCCAGTCCACAAAGCTAAAAAAGGTGGTGGACCGCTGCCCTGCATCCTTCCAGACATGGCTGTCCGCTCTCTTCTTAACAGCCTGTAGTGTTGGAGCAGCCACAACCTCTGGAGCAGGGGTCTCCAACCTTGGCCACTTTAAGACTTATGGACTTCAACTCCCAGAATTCAGCTTTGCTGCAGGGGTGGGATTCAACATTTTTAACAACCGGTTCTGAGGGCGTGGCTTGGTGGTCATGTGACTGGGTGGACGTGGCTTCGTGGTCATGTTATTGGCTGAGTGTGGCCAACTCAATATCACTCACATCGAGGCACGCATCTCTTTGCCTCGCCTCTCATGACTGTGGGGATACTGCAACAGTCGTAAGTGTGAAAAATGGTCATAAGTCACTTTTTTCAGTGCCATTGTAACTTTGAATGGTCACTCCACACAAGCAAAGTACCAGCAAAGGAGGGGAAAAAAAACTCCAGAGAAGTTCCTAGTCCTGCCAAGAATGCAATAAGGGTTAACGGAGAGGCAGTTTCTGTAAGCAACAGCAGAATGTTTCCTTCCTGCCTTCCTTACAGGATTAGCCCAGTAATTTCTTCTAACAGCCGGTTCTCCCAACTGCTTAGAATGTTAACAACCGGTTCTAGCGAATAGGTGCGAACTGGTAGAATCCCACCCCTGCTTTGCTGGTTGAGGAACTCTGGGAGTTGAAGTCCACAAGTCTTAAAGTGTCCCAGGTTGGAGACCCCTGCTCTGAAGGGAAGCCGTCTTACAACTACCGTCAGAACTGGATCAGAGCTGTGAGAAATTGTAGAGACTATTCGCAGCTGGGCTTCTAGGCCGCCTCTTGCATAACTCCCAGCCAGCCTCAAGCTGGTCATAAAACCTTGCTTGACGCCCTGCTGAATGGCTGGCTGGCCAGCTGGCCGGCCTTGGCACTGGCGCGGATGCCCGTGGGCGTCCCTGGTGCCAGCTCAACCCTGATTATCTGAAAGAGAGAGAATGGTGAGCTGCTCAGGCTTCTCACAAGATGCCCTATTTCCAAGAGAAGCAGGCCGGGCTCTTGTTACTCCGAGAGAAACACGATTTCTTTCTTTCTGGGTCAGGGTCTGTGCAAATAACAATCCAACTCCTCCAACAACAGGGAGAGAGAGAAACCTTCGCCTGTCATGCAATGTGGGAGTCGGTGGCATGATTCAGACTGCTACATCCCGGCCCGATTCCTCTTCCTGGAAGGGAGGGGCCTCCAGACGGGTGAGCCCTCCCCACTTAGCCGGGAAGGGAGGAGCGTCTTCTCAGGGTCCGCCATTAAGTGAAGACCCTCAAGTGTGATAGACCCTCTTCTCCCTGCATGCTCCATCATGGCAGTCTGGATGCACCAGCCGGGCACGTACAAATAACTTGGGGGTGGGGGGTCACACAACAGGCTTCATCGGTACCAAGCAAGTATTCTCCAAGAAACATCTGCTGTGGGGTCTCGGCGAAGGTTGGGAAGAAGGTCCATCAGTGCAGGGGAGCTCCCAGAATTCCCCAGGCAGCTTTGCTTAAGAGAATCGCCACGGAGAGTCAGCAAGGACCTCATCGGGTTGCCATTTCTGACTTCCCGCCGGCTTCCCCAATGACTTTGCTGGCAGGAAGGTCGCAAATGGCCCTCCCGTGACTGCGGGGATGGCGCAACCCTCGTCAGCGTGAGGATTGTTTTGTTCAGTGTCATGGTAAGTTGGAACAGTTGCCGAACGAATGGTCACTA